ATAGATGGGGGACGAGGGATTGGCAAGAGGGGATTCGCAAGAGGGGATTCGCATGGAAGTCTCGGGCGAGAGCGCGAATCCTGAGCACAAAAGGAGTAAGTTCCGAGCGAGAGCGCGATTCTGGAGCGCCCGGAGAGCGGTTCGTGGATAAAGTATCGGCAATCTCGCGCGAGAGTTGGATTTCTGAAGACTGTGCATTGAAGTCTCGAGCGGGAACACGTTTCTTCAATGCAGTCTTACGAAGTAAAATGTGGGAGCCGTTGTGTCGGCAACCCCTCGCGTCGTCGCAGGTTCCCAGGGGTCACATCGCGAACCAATCACGACGACAGGGGGTTTGGAGTTGTAGTCCGGGGGCCAGGGGACCCATACGAGGCTCTAGGCTTTCCCTTGTAAGAAGCAGGGTGCGGGCCGCGGGATGAGCGCCTCACTTGACGAAGCACAGTGGGCGCACCAGAGATGGTGACCATCAATATTTGTTTGCTAGAAAAAAAGGGCTCCACATAGTGTGCGCTCTGATCTAGTCGGGTGCCGTACAGCATGTATACCCCGAACCCTCGATGCCCGTCCCCTTCGTGGTCGATCGACCCCCCTTGGGAGTGCATCTTCCCTACCTGCCACGCGTAGTGGGCGCAGCCCCGAACAGGGGAAGGGAGGGAGGACGGATGGGACAAGGGGGAGGGAGAAGGACGGATTGTCAGAGCCCCGAATCATCAGGGGTAACTCGGGTCAGGGCTAACTCGGGTTCGTTTTTCGGGAGTCCGAACCCGAGTTATCCCGGACCCGAGTTACCCCGGATAACTCGGGCGTCCAGAGCCCCGAATCATCAGGGGTAACTCGGGTCAGGGGTAACTCGGGTTCCTTTTTCGGGAATCCAAACCCGAGTTACCCCGGACCCGAGTTACCCCGGATAACTCGGGCGCCCAAGATTGCGAGCGAGATGACCAAGAGGGGGTTAAGAGCAGAGCAGCAAGCGGCAGAGCCAGAGCTGGCGGGTGGGGCGGGCGGACCCTAACGGGCGGGTGGGGGGCGGGCGGGCCCAGGCAGCCGCGTCGAGTTGGCGGGTCGTTGAAGCGTCGGACTGGCATGGATCGCGAGGACGTCTCGAGCGAAAACGCGATTGCCAAGTAAATCATAAGGAAGTCTAGAGCTTGAACACGGATTCTGAGTGTCGAGGGGAGGGTGCGGCGTCTCAATGAATCAGGAGGAGGTCCCACGCGGGAACGCGAGACCTGGATAAATCGGGCCAAGCATCTCCCAATGGATTGTGTGAGTGCTCGGCGGGTCTGTGCCCTCGTCAGGCACGATCGCGAGCCTACGCGCACGCGCGACAGCACTTGGGGTGCATCAGGGAACATTGATTGACGCGTCGCGTTTGTCCAAAAGCTTGCCTCTTCTCCGCGGCCTCCTCTCTACCCACGCCGAGGTGCCAATCAGCTTGTTGGCAGCCCCACGCAGCCCTTTCGAGATGTGCACGCGTCAAATCCGCAACACAAGACGTGCACACTAGCTTGTCCGGAAACGTGGCTCATGCGAGTTGACACGTTAAGTGAGGTGGAAGGAACATCAGAAACATGAGCAGCGGGGCCTCAGGCTAATCCAGAAGACGCAGCAGCCCAGGCAGCCCCCCGAAGTCTTCAACTTGGGGCCTTCAGAGATATTCTTGAAGCCATATTGAAGCTTTCTGGGAGCCCGTTCGACACCTTCGGGGCCCTCCGAGGGCTATTCTGGAGACCTGTCGGGCCCCTCTGGATCGTCAGGCTGGGTACGGACTCTTCCTGACCGCTCCATGCCGAGACTGGCTCCCGCCCCCGTCCCCAGCGGCGGGCTCCCTGTTTCTCCCCCCGTGTCAGCTTCTCTTCCAGCCGCCAGGGGCCCGGGTCTCGGGCATCCTGCTGCTGCGCATCCATGGTGGGGGAGGTTCGGGGCCTCTGGATGCCAAAACGACGCCCAGAAGCGGGTGGGGGGGGCAGGCAGCAGTCTGCGATGCACCTCTTGGTCCGAAAACTGCTTTCTCGCTGCCACGCGGGGACTCAGTGGGGGTGCTCTTGGGAGCAGTCGGGACCCTCTTGGGCCGTCCTCGGGCTATTTTGAGGCCCCACGCGTTGTCCCATCAGAAGCCGCTTGAGCCATTGTGGCTCAAAAGGTATTGCTCGAGACGAGCGCGAGCGCAGCTGGTGCCTACCCTCTTGCGCGCATCCAGGCCGGACTGGCACCCACCCGGACCCTCCAGGGATGGCAGGCCTTGTGGACCCCCCCGCGAACCTGAAGGGCCCCGACCTGATCGAGAAGAACAAGTGGTTCATCTACATCTGCTGCGGAGGCTGTGGATGGGGAGACTGGAAGGACCCGCTGTGCGGCTCCGACGTCGAGGACTTGACCCAGAAGGCCACCTGCAACACGACGTCGCTGATGAACGACGACGGCCTGTGTGCGTGCCTCAACTTCCAGATGAATCAGACAGCGCAGTGCCAGTGCCCACCCGTGGATGGTGCGCCAAAGTGCGTCTGCTTCAACACGCCCCTTGTACCAGGAGGCGGCATGAGCAAGAAGAAGGGGGACGTCGAGTACCAAGCGATCTTCGGGGACACCTGGTGGTACACCTACATCTTCTGCGGCGGTTACGGCTGCAACGGTCTGAAGGCGCTGGATCGCCCGATGATTGCAGGGTACCAGAAGTTCTTGATCGTCGAGGGGTCCATGGGCTTGAACGAGAAGAACGAGTGGCCTGGGGCGGGCAACGGCATGACGAAGTGCACCGCCGGCCTCTGCAGCGGCGACAATGTCTGCATGCAGTCTGTCGAGACGTGCCTGTGCATCTACACGCAGGTCAAGATCCCGCCGGAGCAGGGTGCAAAGAAGTGCGTCTGCTGCGCGAAGGACATCGTTCCGTGAGGCGCGCGCGCGCGGAGGAGTCCACCATGGCACGTGGTTTCGCACACGTGCAGGCACGCACCGAGGTGGGACAGGCGTGCTCTCCGCTCTGTTTTGTTTCTTTCCGCAACCGCTGGCAGCCACGAATTTGTGAGCTGCCTCGGACATGCGGGAGCTTCTCTCTGCTCCCCAGACAGCGCTAACCCTCCCGTCCAGGGTCTGTCGTGCTGCCCTTTTGGCATGCCGCGACGCCCTGCGGCCGCAGCGTGGCGCCGTGGAGCGGCACACGCCACGCAGGCGACCGTGACTGGGCGAGAGCAACCCTCTCCTGCAGCCGCCCTTTGCACATCAGCATCGGTTCTCCGAACCGCACCTTAACTCTGTCCCGACTCTGGCCGCTGGGCCGCGGCATCCGAGTTCAGCCGTGCACGTGCCAAGACAGCACGGAGGCAGTGTCGGAGACCGAACCAAGGGGAAAGACGCCGGATTTGGAAATCCGGTTTGCCCGAAGTCTGGGGCTGCCGCTGCTGCCTCCTCTCCCCCTCGTCCTGTGCCTGGAGGCCTCCCCACATGGGGTCCGAGGAACTGGATGGGGTCGGAGGATCGAGCCGCATGGCCGATGCATCGGCAACGTCGGCGTGGAGCGCATAAGGCTCCACAACGAGTTGCATCGACGATACATCGGCGATGCGGTGTGATCCTTCGACTCCACCTGCTGGGACCCCGTTCAGGAGGCCTGAAGTTTCCTTCGGGTGCGCCTAAGAAGTGTCTGTCCAGGCAGTGGGGGGGGTCAGCGCCCCATGGCCCAGAACATGTGCGCAAACGAGGAAGAGCATCGCCACAACCCATAATATCCCCCCCCCCTAACTCCCCACCCTGGGGGGCGCCCCGGGGGGCGCTCCCGCACAAGTCGATAGGACTCGGGGGGCGCCCTGGGGGTCCTCTGTGGCCCCTCACAGTAGCTGGTCGATAGGCCCCGGGGGACGCTCCACAGCTCACGCCACATGGTTGTTCCCGCGTAGCTCACACCACACGACTTTCATCACATAGCCTGTACCGCAATGCTCACGCTATATAGCTTGCATCTCATAGCTTACACATACTTATAACACATCGTTTACACCACACGGTTCGCACCACCTAGATTGGCACTCGTCTATTGCACAAGGTAAGTGGCATCACAAATTTTACACATTCATCACAGCGTCATACCTATCTTGTTGGAGCCCACGCTGGCAAGCACGATTCAAGACATCGAATCTACGTGGTGTAAGCCATTTGGCGGAATCTCGGTGATGCTAGATAAGTGATGCAAGCTGCGCGGTGCAATCTATTTGGCACAATATGAGTGGCGCAACGTACGTGATGCAAGCTACGTGGTGAAATGTGTGGGTGTTGTCCACGCCGTGCGAACTTGAATGTGTCAAGATCTCGGGTTCGCTAATTTTAACGAACTGTGTCAGCACCCCACCCTCCCATCGGCAGGTACCTGGCAAAGCGCACCTTGCGCAGGTACGCAAAGACCCTAGAATGCAGATCTATAGATCGGGCGGGCAAGTGAGGATTGCGACGGCGACGACGACGACGACGATGATAGTGGTGATGTTGGTGGCGATGTGGACGGAGACGACGGCAAAGACGATGACGATGCCGATATTGTTGACGACGATGGTGATGATGGGTACAATGCTTTTGATAAGTCTTAAGATGGTCTTGGTGATTCTGATAACGAAGGAAATGGTGACGTTGGCGATGTCTCTGCTGGTGGCGAGGAAGGCCATGCGGACACTAACGTAGACCGATTTCTGTATTAGGAGTCCAGTGGGCTTCATGCGCGTATGATCACACCCACTTTGAAGTGTGTCGGGCACCAGTGGCTTTGCGGTGATTGCGGCACGCGCTCGCTGGAACGCGCCCGTGTGGCACGCGTTTTGTTTGACAGCGTTGCTGGGTGCGCAATGGTAGCTGCACGTGTTCGACATGCACGCGCGTGTGGCCCACACGGTCCCATGTCGCAAAACAGCAAAAACCGGTTTGCGCGCGCAGAACTCGTGGAGTTGCTTATTTAACCAGGCGTGAATGATTTGTTCAAAATCTGTTCCTACTTGGCGGGCGCTGGCCCCGCCCTCTCACGGACTGCGGAGCGCGATCACGCGGGCGCCTTCCGCGTAGCAGCCGCAGACCGCGCAGCTGACGAGGCGGTGGGACCCCTCGCCGATCGTCCAGAGGCAGTGCGACTCGTCGAAGCTCACGTGCCGCCGGCGTGGGGGCGCGTCTTCGGCCACGGCGCCAGCCGCTCCGCCGCTCTCCTCCGCGTCGCCGTCGTCGCGATGGGTCCCTCCGCGGGCCTGGGCCGTCAGCGCCGCTGCCGCCGCCGCCGCTGCGGCGGCCGCGCCCGCGCCCTCGGCGCCTCGGCGGCTCGCGTGCGTGGGGGTCCGTGCGCGGCCGCGCCGCGAGTCGGCTTCCCGGGCAAGGGTTCGGCGCTGCCGCCCGGCCGTCTTGGGCCCGGGCGGCCCTTCCAGCAGCGCCCCCCGCCGCGGCAGCCGCTGGCCCGCCGGGGGCGGGCGTGCCATCCGAGCGGCCCGCGCAGGCGTCGCAGAGCCAGCGTGTGCCGCTCGCGTCCGAGACCGCCGTGCCGCGCGCGCCGCATGGCCAGCGCCTGCAGCCTGGCCCGCCGTCGCTGCAGCGCGCGGCGCCCCGCCGCCCGCAGCTGCGCCCGCAGCAGGTGGGCTCCGCCGCGCCCGCGTCCACGCCGTCGGCCGCCGTGAGGGCGGTGCTCCCCAGCTGCAGCGCCTCGCCGAGCCAGCGGGCCGTCGCCGCTGCAATTTGCGTCGGCCATCTCGATGCGCTCCATCGCCGCCTCGCCCATGGGGTGGAGCTTCACGCCCTTCTTGGCGAAACTGTCCCGGGCGCGGTCGCCCATCCTGGCGTGGCCGTCGTGGACGGAGCGGAGCGCGGCGTGCCCCTTCACCTCGGTGACCCGCGCGCTCTGCTGGCCGCCGAAACTGCCCGCGGCCTGCCAGAAATCGCGCCGCACCTCAATGCGCGAGCGGCCCCGCGCACAGCGCCGGGCCTTGCCCGCGGCAAAGCCCGTCACGAGAAGCTTGCAGTCCGTCCTGATCTCGAGGGTGCCGCCCGCGCCTGGTAGGCCCCAGCGCAGGGCGCGGGCGGCGGCCATGATCTCGCCCGCGTTCGAGTCCTGCGGCAGGTGGGCGGGGGCGCATCCCCAGGCGCCGCGCGCCGCGCCGCGGACCTGCAGCGCCGCGAGACCCGTTGACCGTCATGATCTCGAACGTGTCCTTGCTTGCGCCTCGGGCGAGCGCGCCGCTGACATGCTGGCCGCCGCGGGGCTGCGCCCACAGGGCGGTCGGGGCGGCTGCTGCCCTCCCCGCGCGGGCCCGCCCCCTCGGCGCCGCGCTCGGGCGCTGCGCGGGCGGCAGGGCCGCTCGCTGGGATCAGCGCGTCGAGACACAGTGGAACGGGCGCCAGGCCGCTGTCGCTTCTTCTTGATGACCCCTTCGCTGCCACCACTGCGGCGGTCGGCTGCCATGGCGCAGGCTGCGGCGATGACGCCGCGGATCTTCTCGCGGCTGAGGCCCGAGGAAGGACAGTCGCAATCACCGCCAGGACCCACCAGATCCGCAGCCTGGGCCGAGTCCAGCGCGTCGTCCATCGTCGCGTCCGCCGCGTCTGCCCACTCCTGGCTGGCCAGGACCTCGACGGGCTCCGCTCTGGCGCTGCCTCCTGCATCGCTCGGCCTGGCTTGCGCGGCGACGCTGGCGGCCTCCTGCTTGCCCCGCCGCTCGACGAGCTGCACCGCGGCCGCGACCTCGGAGGGGACTTGGCCCGCCACCGCTGCCTTGAGGCCGCCGAGGGAGTCCAGGAAGAGCCGCCCTCGCTCAGCAGGCGTGGCGGCCTTGGCCGCAAGCTCCGCCAGGTGGGACGCCGCGACCTTGGCACGCTCCGCGCTGAGGGCGGTGCGCTCGGCGAGCACTGCCTCGAGCTCCTTCTCGGCGTTGGCGAGGGCCTCCTTCCGCTTGGCCACCTGCTCCTGTTTCGCCACGCACCGCTTGTCCAGCTCGCCGATATTGCTGTCGATGGCCCGCAGCTGCTCGTGCGGTGGCTTGGCCAGGCGCTGCTCTTGCTGGATGCGGGCCATCTCGTTGCGTTAGGACGCCAGGAGCGACACCGAGCGACACCGTGGCCTCGTCCTCGCTGCCCAGGGCCTCCAGCTTCGTAATGAGGCCCCGCAGCTCGGCCACTCTGTCGCTGTCGCGTGCCTCCTCCGCGCCAGCGGCGTCCCGCGAGGCCGAGCGCTGCAGCGCCTTGTTCTCCTTTTCGAGGCCGTCGAGCTCGCGCCGCAGGGCCTTGACCTCCTTGCTGGTGCCAGCCGTGGCGCCGCTGCGGGGCCCCCGCGCCGACGCCGAGGCGGAGCGCGGTCTCGCCCACGGCGGTCGCTCGGCGCCGCGTGCGCGGCAGGCAGCCCGCGAGGCCCAGTTGCCCCTGACCCCGCACGAGCAGTCCCAGGTCGCCTTGCTGCCGCCGCCCGCGCCGCCGCCGTGGCCCGCCATCCTCCCTGGCGAGGAGCCGCGGTGGGCGGCGAGGAGGCCTGCGCGCTCCGCCAGGCGCTCGCGGAGGCGCACGCTGCTCCTGCCCGCCCAGGCCGCCAGCAGCAGGCGTGCCCGCTGGCGATGGCGGCGAGCTCTGTGGTGGGATACCGACTCGCGCACCGTGTTTGCGCTAGTCTCAGCGCGAGGATTCGCGTCAGCCTGGCTGACGCACCCGAAAATGATGATGATGATGATGATGATGATGATGATGATGATGATGATGATGATGATGATGATGATGATGATGATGATGATGATGGTGATGGTGATGATGATGATGATGATGATGATGATGATGATGTGATGATGCTGATGCTGATGCTGATGATGATAATGATAATGATGATGATGATGATGATGATGCAGATGAAGATGAAGATGAATATGATGATGATGATGGTGGTGGTGGTGATGATGATGGTGTTGTTGCTGCTGCTGATGCTGCTGATGATGATGATGGTGGTGGTGATGATGATGGTGATGATGCTGATGATTATGATGATGGTAATGATGCTGATGATGATGATGCTGATGCTGATGCTGATGCTGATGATGATAATGATAATGATGATGATGATGATGATGATGATGATGATGATGATGATGATGATGATGATGATGATGATGATGCCGACGATGGTGATGACGAGGACGGTGCTGACGACAACGACGGCGGCGACGATCATTATGATGGAGATTGCGATGTTGACGGCGATGACGAGTGCAGGGTGAAATGTTGTAAAAGAAATCGTTTTGTTCAGAATTCCCTTTTTGAGTTTTCAACGAGTTTGGAGATCGCAGGGCGAGGGTTTAGGTATCGGCTAGGATCGATCTTCGAGGACGAAGGGCCATCGCGAACGGGGAATTGAGGTGTTGGCCAAGATTTAATGTGACGCGAGCTTGTGAGTTGGATCGAGGATCCGGTTCCGATGATCAGGTTTTTGGCGATGTCCAGAGGACAAAGACCAGTGTGTTGACGAGGATCGACACTCGAGGTCTCGCTTTTGCGGGGAACCCGAGGCCAGGGGGAAGAAAGTCTGTGCAAGCTTGGGCGGGATGCCTACATTCCCATTCGGATTGACTGTGACATGGCGTAACTAGGGTCACCGAGGAGAACTGAGGCCACCTGAGGTAACAAGGAAACTTGGTCTAACTGGCGTTAATTAGGTGTAATTGCGTTGACTAGGTGTAACTGGAGTTAACTAGGTGTAACAAGGTGCAACTAGATGTAACTAAGTGTAGCCGGAAGCGCTCTTGTGGCATTTGTTGCGACGCTCATTGCCGGCACATTGATGGATTGCACGATGTGGCTGACATAGCATAGCTTAAACCGCACAGCAGCCACAGCACAATTTACACCACTAAATGCTTGCGCCTCATAGCAGTGACCTCCAGCTCACACCACATGTATTAACGAGCCAGCTTGCGCCACAGAGTTTACACCACGCAGTTTTACATCGCATCGCTCCCACACCACAGTACGAAAACGCACTGTTTAGGGCCACGCTGGCTGCGTATTCTCCAGAAGGGCGACTCGAAGAGCCAGGCAGCGCACGAGGGGGTCGACGAGGCGCCAACGGGCGCGCACCAGCCGAACGATGGCAGGCCCAGCGGGCGCACGGGACGTTCACGAGGCGCACACGGGCTGGCACGGGGCGAATCCCGGGCCCTCTCAGCCCAAGCACGGCGCGGGCACGGGGCGCCCACGGCCACGCATTTGGCGAAACTGTGGCACACCCAGCATCTGCACGGGGCGTCCACGAGGCTCCCGCGGGTGGTGCTGTGGCGAAGCCCCGCCCCACCCATCAAGCTCCGCCAGAAACGCCGCTGCTTGGGGAGTATGCCAGTATACCTCCTACCGGGGTTTCTCGCACGCCACTGGCCTGTTGAGCCAGAGGATGTGTTCACCTCCGCAGACATTACGTTTCCCGCGTCATCTCATCGATGATCCGCAGGCCAGGGGGGTGCGACCACCATCCAGGATGGCCCTGGCCCGGCACTCTGGTGATACATAGATGCCTATGCCTTCTGGATGTGATTGCCCCTCTGCTCCACAATACAACATCCGCCGCCGCCACCGCCTACGGCTGTTTGGCCCAGAGCAAGCGATCCCGAGCCTGTTTCTGCCCCTGCCGCAACAAAGCACTGGTCTCCACCGGGACCCTCCAGGGATGGCAGGCCTTGTGGACCCCCCCGCGAACCTGAAGGGCCCCGACCTGATCGAGAAGAACAAGTGGTTCATCTACATCTGCTGCGGAGGCTGTGGATGGGGAGACTGGAAGGACCCGCTGTGCGGCTCCGACGTCGAGGACTTGACCCAGAAGGCCACCTGCAACACGACGTCGCTGATGAACGACGACGGCCTCTGTGCGTGCCTCAACTTCCAGATGAATCAGACGGCGCAGTGCCAGTGCCCACCCGTGGATGGTGCGCCAAAGTGCGTCTGCTTCAACATTCCCCTTGTACCAGGAGGCGGCATGAGCAAGAAGAAGGGGGAAGTCGAGTACCAAGCGATCTTCGGGGACACCTGGTGGTACACCTACATCTTCTGCGGCGGTTACGGCTGCAACGGTCTGAAGGCGCTGGATCGTCCGATGATTGCAGGGTACCAGAAGTTCTTGATCGTCGAGGGGTCCATGGGCCTGAACGAGAAGAACGAGTGGCCTGGGGCGGGCAACGGCATGACGAAGTGCACCGCCGGCCTCTGCAGCGGCGACAATGTCTGCATGCAGTCTGTCGAGACGTGCCTGTGCATCTACACGCAGGTCAAGATCCCGCCGGAGCAGGGTGCAAAGAAGTGCGTCTGCTGCGCGAAGGACATCGTTCCGTGAGGCGCGCGCGGACAGTTCCCATTTCGGCCCACCCCTCCGCCTTCTAGAGTGCGAGGGGCGTTTGCTTTCAAAGGGCCCGAACTCTTTCTGAGAGGCCCCCCCGCCTTCCAGAAGGCCCCTGCTTCACTCTAGCCACCCCTTGCGCGCCCCCAAAACGTGGGGAGTGCTTCGATTGTGCTGGATAGCTCCCAGGGTCTGTTGTCTTGCCCTGTTTGGCATGCGACGCCGCTGTCGGACCCAGACACAGTACTGACTGCTCGATCATGCTACGGTGCCGCTTTCAAAATCAAAGCTGGGGTTTGACGCCATCCCTTGCCTCCTCCATTCTCCAGCTGCCAGGGGCCCAGGACTCAGGCATCCTGCTGCTGTGCATCCATCGTGGGGGAGGTTCGGGACCTCTGGATGCCAACGACGCCCAAAGGGGGGAGGGGCAGGCAGTCTGCGATGCACCTCTTGGTCCGAAAACTGCTTTCTCGCTGCCACGCGGGGACTCAGTGGGGGTGCTCTTGGGAGCATCTGGGACCCTCTTGGGCCGTCCTCGGGCTATCTTGAGGCCCCACGCGTTGTCGCATCGGAAGCCGCTTGAGCCATTGTGGCTTAAAAGGTATTGCTCGAGACGAGCGCGAGCGCAGCTGGTGCCTACTACTCTCTTGCGCGCATCCAGGCCGCACTGGTCTCCACCCGGACCCTCCAGGGATGGCAGGCCTTGTGGACCCCCCCGCGAACCTGAAGGGCCCCGACCTGATCGAGAAGAACAAGTGGTTCATCTACATCTGCTGCGGAGGCTGTGGATGGGGAGACTGGAAGGACCCGCTGTGCGGCTCCGACGTCGAGGACTTGACCCAGAAGGCCACCTGCAACACGACGTCGCTGATGAACGACGACGGCCTGTGTGCGTGCCTCAACTTCCAGATGAATCAGACAGCGCAGTGCCAGTGCCCACCCGTGGATGGTGCGCCAAAGTGCGTCTGCTTCAACACGCCCCTTGTACCAGGAGGCGGCATGAGCAAGAAGAAGGGGGACGTCGAGTACCAAGCGATCTTCGGGGACACCTGGTGGTACACCTACATCTTCTGCGGCGGTTACGGCTGCAACGGTCTGAAGGCGCTGGATCGCCCGATGATTGCAGGGTACCAGAAGTTCTTGATCGTCGAGGGGTCCATGGGCTTGAACGAGAAGAACGAGTGGCCTGGGGCGGGCAACGGCATGACGAAGTGCACCGCCGGCCTCTGCAGCGGCGACAATGTCTGCATGCAGTCTGTCGAGACGTGCCTGTGCATCTACACGCAGGTCAAGATCCCGCCGGAGCAGGGTGCAAAGAAGTGCGTCTGCTGCGCGAAGGACATCGTTCCGTGAGGCGCGCGCGCGCGGAGGAGTCCACCATGGCACGTGGTTTCGCACACGTGCAGGCACGCACCGAGGTGGGACAGGCGTGCTCTCCGCTCTGTTTTGTTTCTTTCCGCAACCGCTGGCAGCCACGAATTTGTGAGCTGCCTCGGACATGCGGGAGCTTCTCTCTGCTCCCCAGACAGCGCTAACCCTCCCGTCCAGGGTCTGTCGTGCTGCCCTTTTGGCATGCCGCGACGCCCTGCGGCCGCAGCGTGGCGCCGTGGAGCGGCACACGCCACGCAGGCGACCGTGACTGGGCGAGAGCAACCCTCTCCTGCAGCCGCCCTTTGCACATCAGCATCGGTTCTCCGAACCGCACCTTAACTCTGTCCCGACTCTGGCCGCTGGGCCGCGGCATCCGAGTTCAGCCGTGCACGTGCCAAGACAGCACGGAGGCAGTGTCGGAGACCGAACCAAGGGGAAAGACGCCGGATTTGGAAATCCGGTCTGCCCGAAGTCTGGGGCTGCCGCTGCTGCCTCCTCTCCCCCTCGTCCTGTGCCTGGAGGCCTCCCCACATGGGGTCCGAGGAACTGGATGGGGTCGGAGGATCGAGCCGCATGGCCGATGCATCGGCAACGTCGGCGTGGAGCGCATAAGGCTCCACAACGAGTTGCATCGACGATACATCGGCGATGCGGTGTGATCCTTCGACTCCACCTGCTGGGACCCCGTTCAGGAGGCCTGAAGTTTCCTTCGGGTGCGCCTAAGAAGTGTCTGTCCAGGCAGTGGGGGGGGTCAGC